TTTAGGTTTAAGCCTATACTACTGGAAAATGCAAATCAACCCCAATTAAAACCAATAATTTGATATACATCATGATATTTTTCTAGGGGGGGGTAAAAAAATTTCTAGGGGGGGGTAAAAAAAATTTCGGCGCGCTTCGCGCGCCAAATTAAAAATTTTTACCCCCCCCCTACAGAATCCTTATATCCGCCCCTGAGTTTCTGTTAAGCTAAAGCAGTTTGAATAGATTCTGATAAAACTAATAAGGTTTGAATGGATTCTGGTAAACATAAGTTTAAATTCGATTTTCATTTAATTTTGAAAATCCAGAAGTATTTTTTTTAAAAATCCGCAAACTTTTAGTTGTTTTTTGTTTTACATAATATACAAAGAGAAAATAATCACAATTGAAATAGATAGGCGCGAAAAAGTCTAGTATTGTTATATTTAACTAGTTTTTGGTCGTCATTAAAGTCTCATTCTTTGTGGGTATCCCTGTATAAAGAATAAAAGGTAAATTATTCGTAAAGGTTGAGCACAGTGATAGAAAAATGAAGGGTTTGGGAAGGTAGAATACTTTAAAAGGATTGTAAGCGTATTTCAATACATGCAAAGAGGGCAATTCCCTATTCCCAAAGATGCCCTTTAAAGCGTTGTGATCGCAATGATTGTGATTTTAAGAACTTATCATTTTCAAATGCTGTTCCTTTACAGATTTGACTTGCAAATTCCTACCGCAGAAAACCATATAAATAATCATTAGAAATAACCAATTATAAACCAAGAAAAGAAAAATATCAATTAGAAATAAACACTTATAAACCAAGAAAACGAAAATATCAAATAGAAATTAACACTAATATACCGTGAACACGAAAATATCAATATAAACACTTATAAACCAAGAAAACGAAAATATCAATTAGAAATAAACACTTATAAACCAAGAAAACGAAAATGTCAATAAGAAATAAACACTTATAAACCAAGAAAACGAAAATATCAATAAGAAATAAACACTAATAAACCAAGAAAACGAAAATATCAATTAGAAATAAACACTAATAAACCAAGAAAAGGAAAATATCAATTATAAATAAACACTAATAAACCAAGAAAAGGAAAATATCAATTAGAAATAAACAATAATAAACCCAAGATAAAGAAATAAAAATAAAAAACAAGGAAACAAAATTATCATCCCATTCTCAGAAAGATTAAGGTTTCAAGGGTACCGTTGTAAATCGGTCATCGCCATCTTTGCTTGGAGGGTCACTTGAAATTACGCTTAGAGTATCTTTGATGTAAGCGTTGTGTGTACAAAATTTATGCACGAGAATGTTTTTAAAAGTGAATCCATAATCCAATCAGCTTATACAGAAGCTAGTGCAGAGTGTTCCCGCAAAGCATACATGCAACCCAAACACATCCCTGATAAGTGATAACAATCCCTTTATGTACAATAACAACATTAATGTACAGTACCACATGCTTGTGAGAGAACAGTTGTACAACAGATATCCTACCTAACAACTGTATTGATACTCGAGACTCCATTTTTCCAGTGATAGTTTAACCTCTTAGATACATTTCTCTGCAAACATTTATTCAAAAATACTTGAGCAAAAATATCACATTCTTTTTGTAATTAAATGAGTTAACAATTTATTTAGCAATGACATGAACAGATCGCTTCAAATGAAAAGCAACGACGGAGCTCTATGGTTTAAAACAGCTTGGATATGGTCTATGGATTGAGAGCTGCTTGTAGCAATTTCTCGAATCTGTCAGACTTGATCATCTCATCTTCTAGAGTATTCTTGAACTCGTCCAGTTGTCCAGCTATACCCGGAGTAGGTTGCAGGTCTCCACCTAGACCTTGAGAATATTCAGCATCCGGGATGAACCTGAAAATAAGTATGAAATAAGTTGAATTGCTTATTCTGAGCTCAAACTTTTGATAACATACTGAACATTATGGTGACCCAAATCACCCTTAAAAAAACTTTAGCACACAGGCCCAAATTGTTCCATACATGTAAGTGTTCCTAAAACAAATTCAAATGTCTATGAAGCCATCAACAGCTACATGTATAAAATCGAAATATTGCTGAATAGATATCCCTTGTTACACTGCAAAAGTGTGCTCACCAAAACAATAGTTATTAAATAAGACCTCTTAGCGTTGAACTGCTACCTGAGTAATGCACTATTTACCTAATTCACATCATCAGTTATGAACTTTCTACCGAATTGACCCCTTAGATATGAACTTTTATCTGATTGATTTCCAATGTACCTCCTAGCTATGAACTATATACCAGATTGAACCACTAGCTATTAAATTTCTATCTGTTTGACCCCCTGCCCCTGGCTATGAAATGATATCTAATTGACTTCCCAGTGTATGAACTACTACCCGAGTGAACCATAGCTATAAACTGCTACCTAATTGACTCCTAGATATGAATTGATTCCTGATTGACCCCCTAGCTATGAACTATATACCAGATTGAATGAACCACTAGCTATTAAATTTCTACCTGTTTGATCCCCTGCCCCTGGCTATGAAATGATATCTAATTGACTTCCCAGTGTATGAACTACTACCCGAGTGAACCATAGCTATAAACTGCTACCTAATTGACTCCCTAGATATAAATTGATTCCTGATTGACCCCCCTAGCTATGAACTACTACCTGATTGACCCCCTAGCTATGAACTGTCTACCTGATTGACCTCCTTGCAATCAACTATCTGCCTGATTGACCATTTAGCAATAAACTGCTACCTGTTTGACCTCTTAGCTATAAGCTACCTTGATTAAGAAGGACCAACCAGTTGGTCCTTATATTGAGATGTATCAACAAAACCATTCGTTGCAGTATGTGCTATCGGGGATTTGTGAGTGTATAAAACTGATAAGAAAATTTGCCGCAATTAGAACTGAAATTGCCAAAGCCTATAAGTACCTAAAACCCGTACTTATTGCGTGATATGATTTTTTGTCTTTCAATGAAATGAACTATTCAGTTAAACTAATAAATGTAGTCTAATTGAACTTTAAAGAAGCGCTTCGTAGTGGCAACACTTAATTTTTACATGTAGCTGATCCCAATAAGATAAAGGCCCAATTTTTTTTTTTTTTTTTTTTTTTTTGGGGGGGGGGGGGGTGCCCTACATATCCCCTGTAACCATTTGAGACTGATGTGCAATGTGCATGTTTAAATTCAGAAAATTCAGTTTAAATTCAGATACTGAACATATTAAACAAATGTGAATCGTCTAGATAACTATGTAAATAAACTCTGAAGAAGTATTAATATGATTCCCTATTAGAAGGACATATAGTGAATGAAGAAACATTACCCCCCCCCTTCCCATTTATATGAACTCCTGTATTAATTTTATTTATTTTATTAATGTGAACAGATGCAACTTAATAAATATTTCAAGATTTTGTTTTGGCTTGACTTTAATAAACTTTGTTTTTGAAGTAAACAATTTAGCTTGAAAATAGAAGGTTATGAATTTTGGATAAATATTGAATATTGATTTTAACAGGGTAAAAGAATAAGCACGACAAAAAGACGTTTGATCTGCGAAAAAATTAATTTTCGACTAAACCAAAAATAAGGATTTATAAAATGTGGTCAGAATAATGTTTACCTTCTCTGTTTATAAATTACCTTAATTATTAGAACTTTCTATTCTTAGTTAAAAAAAAATAATCCAAACTTTGCTATTTTTTAAACATTTAAGTGCGTTGTCAAAAGTAGTCATTTAGTACCCGAGTTTTCTAGGACTCCATGTGGCATTTATTCAAGGTTTTACCGTTTCTTATCTCCACCACGTTGTCGTTTAGCTGAAGAATGGAGATCACCAGACCATCTCTTCTTAGTACTCTCCGCCCCTCTCTTCTCTCCGGAGAATCTATGAGTCCGAACCATCTCTCCTGATCTCCGGTTCTCCTTTCCTTTCCGGCTCAAGGGGGACATTCCGGTAGAGATCATTTCCGATCTACAGGATACAGTATATGGAGATACAATTCGACCCAAACTAAACAAAATAATAATCTTAGGAGAGGGAATAGAATTTTTAAAGTTCAAATGATTAAACAATCAAATTGTAAAGAAATGAAGTAGCTGTATTCACAACGGTGCTTTTCTTTACGTGCATTTAAAAATTAAAGAATGGTGGATTTCTACAGAAAGAGATTGTAAAAAATAATTAAAATAATGGACACAATCCGTGTTAAGTGTTTAACCACAAGTCCGGAGAAAACACGGAATATTAGTAAAATAATTTACATTTCTTCAGTGTAGTTGTAGATATAATTTACCTTGGAGACACGTAGCTGATTAAAGGTACTGATTCAATGCTCCTCCGTCCTTCATGATTATTCTCCCCCTCCAGTCCCTGATCCTCCTCCAGGTCGAAGCTAGATCGGAGTAGGTTGGGTTTATAATCCTCACTCAGAGCATTCTCCAGCATTAACTCTAACCTGAAGAATAATTGTAAAAAGTATGTTTTGATAAACGTTAACAAGAAAGCAGAATTATAATATGCAATTTTTTTATAAAATGATATTATCAGCCTTTACCGGAGGCAAAACTTAAAAAGAGGAGGGGGCGGAGGATTTTGTGTTGTGATTATTTTTAAGATTTTATCTCGAGGCGCAGCAAGTGAAAATTTGGTAACAATAAAATCTTAGGACTTAAAATCCGTTTTTCAATCTCAAGAAGGAATGGGGCGCGTTTTCCTTCAGAAAGCAAGGGGATGATGAATGATCCAACCCCCCCCCCCACACATACAAATGTCATAAATGTCTTAAATTTCGACAACTAAAAATATGAAACATACCTTAAAGATTGTTTCTGTTCCTCCTTGAGTTTATCCCTGAGATCAGGATTATAACAAGGTTCCTCTATCCTCAGTTTATCCCTGTATTCAGATAGTGAACGGTTCAAATGTTCAACCATAGATGTCTCTGCGTGTTCAGCTGTCCATCCCAGTCCGCTGGTGTTATTATTAAATTGTAGAGTAGCAGCGCAAACAGATCAAAAACATGTTTTTAAGTTGGATTTCGTTAATTTTCTACGAGAACCAATGATATTCAAAACTATTTGAGGTAGGGTTGCAAAGCTGAAACTTGTTAAAATGAGAGTCGCGCGGAAATAAAACGAGGATAACATTTTTATTAGGGTTTTAATTTGGTGCAGCCTACAACCCAGTGCTTGGGATCCGGATCCAATGGATCCACAAAATGTTTGCCTTCCTAGATCTGGATCCGGATTCAAGGGGCAAACTATTAACCATATGTGTAAACTAAAAACTTCTGCTCTCAAAACTAAAAAAATAAACTATTGAAAAAATAGAGATTATTTAAAAATTTCTTATCTCTGAATGGTTCATCAAACTTAAAGAAATGTTCTTCACCTGGATCCGGGTCTGGATATATTTTTTTTCGGAGGGATCCAGGATTTGGATCCAATTCTCCAAACCCTTTCCTCATTCTTATATTATGAAGAAAAACAGATGGTTTAGAACAGAAGAAATGAAATATCTAACCTTGTCCATTGAGATGGTAGTGAGTACTCTAGTATTTTATCCTCTCTATATCCAACAATTCTATCACTTCCTTCCATACACGACAATCTAGATAAAAAGGGACTGTTAATAGATTCAGGAAAAATTTCCCAATACAATATAATCAAATCAATTATATACAGGGTTATGCACTAAGGATGAGACGTCATAGACGACTTTCAGTAATGTATACTGTCTGTTATATTAATATTATATATTAATGGTATTGGTTCCCTGCAATTGTTAACTTGTTTCTTTCTTTGTTAAATCAATAAATAAGCCATTAACGACTTTAATTAAGGCAGAAGACTTAATTCAACCTTGGAATCACCACATTAATCGAGTTTCAGGTCGTCTTTGTAGTCTTATCCTTTGTGGGTAACCCAGTATTTTACTGCAGTAATAATGATAACAGATATTAACATAACAGTGAAATAAATAAACGTAAAACTACTGCAGCAGGAGAGCTTAGATCTGTTTTCACAAATCCCGCCTGTCATTCTTAATATTTATATTTTAAGAATATAAAGTTATAAAGTTATAAGCTAACTACATACTGAAGTTTCAGGTTTTGATCTTGAATCTTAAAAACAACCCAGCGTGAAAAAGAAAACTAAATAGAAACTTTAATAAGACTGTAGTGTGAAATATCATTTAAGTAAACACATTTATAAATATTTAAGAGCTACCTGTACTGAGCACAGCAGACCAGAATATCAGTCCAAGGTAGTATTTCCGGTGGCGGAGTAATATTTTCCCCACCTCCGCCTCGACAACACTGCTCGGTGTATCCTCGGTAGCTCCGGCTCAGACTCCGCCGTAGTTCTGAGACAAGGACGGATGTATCGTAGTTTGGGACGGATATTCGGTCCACATATGCCCAGATCTGTTCCACTAGGTTCCGCCAGCTATCTGCCTCGTAAACCTGGGAATTGCCAGGGTTAATCTTCAATCTTATTTTCATCATTTTAACTTTACTGTAACATCTTTTTTTTATTTAGTGGCTTAAAAAGATAAAATAGTGATGCTTAATTAAAGCTCTCAACAGCCTTCATCGATTCAAAAATATTTATCAAACCTTTTTTAATAATAAACAAAACTCTGAATTGAAATTACTTGTAAATTCATGTACAATCAAGCATTAAAAATAATCTAATTTGATCCCAATTTTCAGCTTTATGTCTCTTGTAATCATTTCACATCGATTGGCTGGGATTAAAAATAAAACAATCTAAGCAAGCATTGCATATATTTCTTTCATTACTACAACTTAAATTGTATTTTAAAATTAGTGAAATGCCGCCTGGACCACCCTCCCCTCCTGACCCTCTTTACTAAACAGCAACCTCAATGACTTATCTATCTATTGTGTAGGTTTATCAAAATGGGAGGTGGCGAGTCACGGTGGGGTATTTTAGGGGGTCATGACTGTTTTGTCACAATACTCCTCTTAAAATGCATTTGTCTTGTGTTTCATGTTGAGAAAAAAGAATAAATTCATATAATCTTCTAATCTACAAACATTGTATGATTGATTTATAATGATTTCAATTTATAATTACTTTTACCGTTCATAACTTTATACTTGAATGGATCCTGTAAACCCGCAATATATTCAGATATCGTCTTTGTTACAGCGAGTATTTTGGAAGAAAACCAGATATTTTATAGTAAAAGCACATGAGAGCACAGGGGTTTAGGGATAATCTAAATATTTAAGTAGATTCTGACCGCCAAATAGAAAAAGATTTAGGGGCTCCAGCAGCACCCCAATCCTTGATTTAGTCTGAGTTGCGTGCTGAAAAATCCTATTTTAGAGTTTTTAATGAAATAGTGGGTTTGCGGTCGAAATTCTTAACTAAATCATAACATTTAAACAACTTACAAACTTTTCTCAAAAAAAATTTTAAGCGGCCAAGTCTTATTTTACATATATAAGAGGTTTATGGAATAAAGCTCATTTTGAGCTGACTCCCCCCCCCCCTAATACCCCACTGTGCGTGGGGAGTCTAATAATAATTCAGACCATTATAACTTTTTCATTCCTCACTGTTGAATAGTAATACCTGTAAATCCTCCAGTTTGAGAGAATCTATAAACTGTACAGTTTCATCAACATGAAGAGCATCGTTCCAGTTGACCGGCAGCTCGTCTGATCCAGGTCGGAGAAACTCCGGCATAGGCCAGGATACCTCCTGTAGAACAGGGTCCATCAGAACTTCTTTCAGGTGCTCTAGCCCGTGGTTGAATAGACAGAGAAGGTCCTGGTAGGGTCGATGAGCTAGCCCAAGCTTTCTTCTAGCTTTAAGATTTCTTGACATCTCACCAAACACCTGTTAGCATTAATATACAATGGTCGTCGTACATATCAATACAATGAAGACTACTTTCTATTTCAATCAAACTTTTAACAGCATGGATTGGATACATAGAAACAAAGAGAATTTTCAATTAACAGATTCTCTTTGTTTACTTGTAAACTTGAAAACTTGAAAAAAGCTTGAACAATTTGGTAACATATCAGTAACCGAAGAAGATCGGGACAAATTGCAAACTTCAATCAATGATCTCATGAGTAGGTTATATAAATGGTTTAAATCGTTCAATGTACCTAAATGTTAAGTACTGCATGTGGGTAGAAATAATCCTAAGGAATGGAGAACCCCTAGCTACCGTAACACATGAACGTGACATTGGAGTCATAATATGAAACCTTAAAACCTTCTAAACAATATAGGGAGGCAGCTCGCAGAGCAACAACTGTACAGTGTACTGTCACAGATCTCTAGGGTTTTTATTCACCCCGACAAGAAAACTTGTTTGCAACTTGGTTAATGGGTGATATTGAGCTGCTAGAAAGGGTTCAGTGTGAGCAGTAAACATGGTTGATGGATTACAGGGACTTAAGTATGAGGAAAAACTGAGAGAACCTTTGTACACTAGCTGAAAGACGTAAAATATTTAATATGGTCATAGTATTTAAAATCCTGCGTGGGATCGACAATGTCGATTTTTCGACCTGGTTCACAATAGTCGGGGAAAATGTTGTCAGACCTACAAGAAGTACGCCATGAAATTAATACCTTCCAGAAGCAACACCGATACCAGGAAAATTTTCTTTAGTAACCGAATAGTCTATAATTTAGTGCGTGCCAGGACAGAGACCTAGACGTAAAGCACAGAAGCCAAATCTGTTCGATCTCTGTACAGTGAGGACAAGAAAAAAATTCTGCGTTAACGGATCACCCGGTCTTCTGCAGTCATCAAAACAAGTAAGTAAGTCTTCATTGTATTGATATAAACGCCGACTACTGTAATCACAGACTGTAACTTATCTTTAAGAGACAGCAAATTATTCTAACCATCAAACTCTAATTGACTATCTTAATTCCTTTGCCACAACTATAAGTTAAGACAAATATTCCTATGAAGGCTAACATTTTCTTTCTAATTTTAAACATTTGATCTTTTATAATGAAAACATTAGTGTGCCCCATTTTGCAACAAAATATAGAAATATTGTCTCAAAAATAACTCTCAGGCTAATATTGTTCTTTATGGTGTCAGTTTTCACAGGATATTTTTTTAACCTGTGGGAAGTGGTCGTGCAAGGCCCGTGCAGATCGCAAAAAAAGTCTACAAAGCTCAAAAAAAATTCCTTGAATTTATCAAATTATATATCATTTTCTTCGTTAAAAAGATCAATTCCATTGAAATTTTTGAAAAATTTCAAAAATTGACTGCCTTTAGTTAAAAAAAAACTCCAGAAAATATACTTTTCTTTAAAACTAGCCTTTTTGAGGTGTTTTTTGGTCTAGCTCAATCAATTATTAAGAGTTAAAAAAAAATTTCAACGGATTGAATCTTTTTAGACAATTACGAAGAAAATAATATACGACATGATAAATTCAAGAAATAATATTTTTGAGCTAGTAGACTTTTTGCGATCTGCAAGGAAACACGACCACTTCCCAATGGTCTAAAAGAAAAAAAACTTGTGATAACTGACATCGAATTTAAATGTTCTAAATTAAAAAAATATATATATATTTCTACGAAAATATATTTTCTGCTGCCTCTCAAAGAATGTAACTAGTATAAATGATACCTGAGAAGTGAGAAATCCTTCCAAGAAATCCCGCAAATTTCTTTTCTTCAAATCCTACAAAAAGATTATTATCTTTTTTTTTTATTTCTTGAAAGGAATTTGTACTTAACATGTCAAATATAAGATATGAAAAACAGAATAACAATTCCATGGAGAACTAGACCAATTTATTAACCAGATGTAGCAGAACTGAATGTTAGCCTAGCATCTCAATTTAGAAAGAATTATTAAACTCATGAATTGTAATTGTTACCAAAAACCCAAAAAAATTATTGTCTGTGTCATTCTCCATCATTCTTCTTATTAAGTTTGTATCTGATTTAAAATTAATAAATGTGCCTGAGTTCGAAACTTTAGTGTGAAATAGTGAGAATTTCCAGCTTTTATCTCGATATCCTCTTTGGCAAATTTTGATCCAGAGATAAACAATATTAAAGTTCTAACCTCTTGAAATGTTGGCCGTAGACTTAAAACAATTACAAATTTCAAAATCATTGCGACACTTCTTAATTAAAAGACAGAAGGAAGACGACAATTATCAATTGGTTTTCTGGTTCCCACTGTACCTGTGTTGGATCTTCAGGTTGATGCTGAACCAGTTTACGAACTCCCTCTAGGATCCTCGTCATACTCTCCAGGCTGTAGATATTACTGGAGAGCTGATATATCTCATACTCAGATATATATCCGTCCTCTGAATATTATATATTACTGGAGATCTGATATATCTCATTCAGATATATATCCGTCCTCTGAATATTATTTATTAATGTAGAGCTGATATATCTCATACTCAGATCTATATCCGTCCTTTGAATATTATACATTAATGTAGAGCTGATATATCTTATAGATATATATCCGTCCTTTGAACATTATATATTAATGTATAGCTGATATATCTTATACTCAGATATATATCCGTCCTCTGAACATTATATATTAATGAAGAGTTAATATATCTTATACTATATCTTTACAACCTGAGGGATCTATGACGTAAACAATTTTAAAATGAAGGTACGTTATCTACGAAAATTCATAGTTGGATATACCAAAACAAAAAACTGTAGTAGATACTAGATTCTAACAGTTTTTATTTTCAGCAGCAAGAAAAGTTCTTCAAGACCAGGGAAGAGTTCCGAAGGAATCTTTACTACAAATGCGATAAAAACATAAACTAAGAGAGGTTGCTAAAATCCAGAACTAAAAATATGTGAATGTTGCAGCCTCCAATGGAAGAAATATGAGAGAAATCCAAAAGGTGAAAAATCCTAAGTATAAAAAAAAAACACGAAACCTCTCTGGGAAAGAGTCGAGTTCAAAACTAGAAGAGAAAATTGTGTGGATCAGCCCTATGAATAATTAATTCCAATTGAAGAAATATCTGAGAGAAATCCAAAAGATGAAAAATCCTAAGTATAGGAAAAAACACGAAACCTCTCTGGGAAAGAGTCGAG